CGGACGCGGGGCTGTGCGTGGAGGGGTGGCTGGCCCCGCCGCGGCGAGGCGTCGAACCTCGGCCGCGCCTTCAATGGCGTTACGGAAGAGGGACTAGGCCAGGGCTGTATCGCTGAAACCTGGGGACGACGAAAAACCGTGTCAGCTCTTCAGAAAGAGCAAGGGGAAAGCCAGGTGACTGTGGCCCCGTTAAGGGTAAGAATTAATTCCCAAAATCGTCTTCTTAAGGCTATAAACACCAAAGGACGTGCTGAAATATGAAAATCTTCGGCTCTGGGGAAGGAGAAGGAAATACCTAGAACTTGTTGCAACAATGAATGTGCTAATTTTAGAACATCTTTAAGTCATCCTCACTTTCTGGAATTAGATTGTGCAATTTTTTTTTTTCTAGCAAATAAATGAGTTTTGTTTTTAATGAAGAAATGTTAAATCTCCGTTATATTTCACTTTGAAAGAGCTATAAAAGTGAAATGTGGAACTCATTCTTCCATGTCAATGATTAGAAGCCCAAAATACATCTGTTCCACATGAACAACTGCAGACTTTGCTTTCACAGAAGAATAGCTATATTTGTAGTTACTTTAAATGTATTCCTGTTGATTTCATTCTTGCGTATTCTAACTTGTAAAGTCAGAAAAATGTCACAACCTTGATTAAAATCAAGTTCCAAATAGCCAGATGTCAAGGAAAAACGCTTCAATATTAAGCGGAATCTGCATCCTTAATTAACAGTGATTTGGTTCTAAGAGTATCAAGGCTCCCCACTAAACCATAGCTGTAAAAACAGAGGATCCTCGTTAGAGTTGGAGAGTAATTGCATCGATAGATGCACTATTTGGACTTATGATCTCATTTACAGCTGTGGAAGAGCTTTTGGGGGGCTCCGTTTGACTTCTTGCAGCTATTTGCTGCTATAGCTGTCGGAGTATCCAGCTTATTTCACACTGGTTTTCAGAATCTGGATCCCAGGCTAACTTATTTTCCTCCAAAACAGTGAATGTCCTCTCTAAACTCCTGAAATCTAGGTGGGATTCAAAATTATTAAGTGAATTGAAGTTTTGGGGAATGAGTTATGAAGGTTTTTTAACCGGTGTTGTGAATTTATGTTTGAATTCCACTACTGTTCTATTGGAATTCTGCGCCGAGCTCTTGAGAGCAAGGATAATTTATGTACAAGAATGCCTTAAAATAAGCCTCCGTAATTACAAAAATGCAGTGTTTAAATTTATAGTAAAAACCCACACACTGCTGGCAAAACTATAACTGCATCTGGAAAACATTAAGGATGCTATTAAAATAGTCTAGCATAAACTAGAAATGAGACTGAAATTACAGTGTTGCTTACTTAACCATTTTTAGGAAGTATATTTTGAATATGATCTGCTTTCCTATTTGATTTTTTGATAAAACACCGCATTGTGTCTTGTTTACCGCTGAGAATGAACTACGTACTCTGTTATCTATTTTAGAAAAATCCACAGATCAGATTTTTTAAGCGTCTTCTTACAGTCTTTGGTAATTTAAAACATAACCAGGTGGGTTTTGATCCAGCCATCAGGAGAAAAAGTAACAGGGAGATCTCAAAGGAGAATAAAAATCACAGCAATCAAAAACTTGTTTTATTAAAAAGATGACATATTTTCAAACATTGAAAAATTACGTTTTTATAAAAACAGAAATAGGCAAAATACCCATTTGTCTTCTATTTACATATACAATATTTCTCATTGTATAAAATTATTTACAATATATAAAAAAATTACAGTAAAATAGGTTATTTTCTTACAAGACATCAAGCCCTGTACTTCTAGTGTAGATCATGGCAAACAAGAATATTATTGCACCTGTGAAACAAACAGTCTAACAATAGGAGTGTTCTCTTAGCCATGCCTTCAACTGAGATCTAAAATAACATCGTTAGCTACGGTAACATTCATTTAATCTCTTCTAGGGTCAACTTCAGGCAGTTTCCATACAAACATTGTCTTGTAAAGCTTAGGACCGGGCGGTTAGAATTGGGGAAAAAAAACAAACAACGTATTTACAGCTTCTTCTATACAATCTGTACGGAGTCTTACGGAGTTTACCCTTCACAGAAGCTGCATAAATAACCCCTGTTCTCCTGACCGGGACGGGCAGGTTCACCGATACAGTCACATCAAAGTCTCTGCAGGAGATGACCGGCTAAGTCTCCTTGTGTCAAACCCTCCTCAGCTTCCATCGCTAGAGCGTCGGTGCCTCCCTACGTAGTACCAGCTACAAGTTTTTAACGCTTCTGCCCCTGAGCAGTTAAATAAGGTCCACTCTTGGCAGGTCGGAGTCTCCAGGGCTACATGTGCCGCTTCATGTGCAAAGCCAGGTGGTCTGACCTGGAGAAGGCCCTGTCGCAGAGGTGGCACTGGAAGGGCCGGTGGCCGGTGTGCTTGCGATAGTGACGGGTGAGTTCGTCGGAGCGAGCGAACTTCCAGCCGCAGCCTTCCCAGTTGCAGTGGTAGGGCTTTTCACCTGTCGGAGAAACCAGAGAGAGCGTGACTCAGCGCGGCACTCCCACGTACCGGCAGCATCACATGCTAGGCAACCTTCCGAGTTTATCTCGGCGTCTCCTTTTATTTGCTACCGAGCCCTTCTCCGAGACCCGAGTGCTTTTTAAGCCAAACGAGACTGGTCTAGCAATTCCTCCCCTATCCTATACCCACAGTGAAAATCTTTTGAGAAAGGGTGTTAGAAGCCCTCAGGAAAGCTCTGACCTACGTATACATCGGAAAACAGACGTTACAGATCTGACCCCCTGTCAGGGAACACTCCTGGAGTTTAAGAGACTACAGGGTTAAAGCTCAGGCTGCAAACTCTTCTATACGGGCGGCTACGGCAAGCAGCAGATCTCCGGACGACGGCAACCAGCCATATTTACCTGTGTGCGTCCTGAGGTGCGCCTTCAGGTGCGAACTCTTGGTGTAGGTCTTCCCGCAACCTGCGTAGGTGCACGTGTGAGTGGCCGTCCTCTTCCGCGGCCAGGACCGACGACCTCTTTTGGGTTTGGAGTCCAGCAGCTCCAGAGGGGAGGAAGGAGGGGTGAGCATGCCTCTGGGAGCAGAGGGTTGTAAGGGCAGGCTGTCCTCGAAAAGACCAAACTGGGAGGTGTTCTGGTACTGGAGATGGGTCTGCGGGTGGTGGAAGCCGGAGGCCGGGTGGTAGCTTTGCTGGAAGGACACGGACGAGGGGCACATCATCTGCGTGTGGCAGTCATTCACCATGAGATCATCGGGGCTCAGCGGGGGCGTCTCTGCCCCGGGGATCTGGGGGGAGCTGGCCACCCGGGGCTGCTCGTAGGCCATCATGCAGGTTGCGTTGCCCTCCTGCTTGATCTTCGGGCAAGCCTGGGGCACCAGACCCAGGACCGGTCCGTAATTGTCCATGTCAGGCTCGGGCTTAATGTTCTCGATGAACTGCGGGCCCCCGAAGCTGGGCGTCACGAAGAACCGCCCGTGGACATTGGCAGGAGGGCAGTAG